TGGTTGACCAGTGTGTGGAACAAGATGCTAGATTAGATGGGCTACTGGTCTGATCCAGCAGGGCTCTTCTGACACTCTAATGAAGGCCTCGGCCTCTCTGCCCTGTTGTTGGCCAGCCAGAGGAACTGGCTGGCCCCTGTGTGAGACAGGATGCTGGACTGGATGGACCCTCACTGGTATAACCCAGCAGGGCTCTTCTGATGCTCTCCTCAGGAGAAGTTCTCGGCCTCTCTTGCCCTGTTGTTGGCCCTGCAGAGGAACTGGTTGACCAGTGTGTGGAACAAGATAGATGGGCTACTGGTCTGATCCAGCAGGGCTCTTCTGATGCTCTCCTCAGGAGAAGTTCTCGGCCTCTCTTGCCCTGTTGTTGGCCCTCCAGAGACAAGATGCTGGACTAGATGGACCACCGGTCTGACCCAGCAGGGCTCTTCTTCTGTTCTTACGCACATACCCATGTGCATATACACTGCACATGTATTCAAACTTTGTCTGTAACACCGAGAGACTTCATGCATCCAGAACAAACCAACCAACCCAGAACTGAAACACAAGATATAGATAGGAACTCTCAGACTGGGGCAAGTGATGCACTCTATCCTTGGTGCTTGGGGGGGGGGGTAATAGTGGGAGGGCTTCTAGTGTCCTGGCCCCACTGCTGGACCTCCTGAGGGCACCTGGTATTTTTGGCCACTGTGTGACAGAGTGTTGGACTGGACAGGCCACTGGCCTGATCCAGCATTGGCTTCTCTTATGTTCTTATGAAACAACTTTAGCAACGGCAGGGAAACTGCCAAACGCCAGGAGAGGAAAACTAAAAGGGGAACCAAGAAGGCCAGATGGTCCATCAAATCAGGATTTTGAAATCTGTCAAGCCGGACGCACCCAGATCGACTGGGCTGTATTAGATATCCTGTGATGTCCCTCTTATCTCCTCTGTCTCATGAGCATGTGGTTTCCTTTAGTTCACAGGTCGGCAAGCATGGCTTTGGGGAGGGGTGGTGGTCCGGATCTTCCCTCCTCTCATGCTCCAACTCTCTTTCGGTAACCTCCACCCCACTAAGCTGTCTCGAATTCGGGACAGACACGTTTTAAATCAAATCAGCAACATCCTGCCGTATTCTGCACGGCAACCCTACCGCCCTTGTAAAACAAGAATCCGGCATACATAAAATAGTATTGATTACACGCAAAGTAGGACTCGCACCATTTATAGCGACACACGTTTCTGTGAGTCAGTGCTCGCTTCCTCAAATGCATGGGGCGTCGGCCTGCCAGGCCGGTTTATATATGCCAATGCGAGGTAGAGGGGGAAATGCTAAGAAGAGGGGTTGGTTCAAAACAGGATCCGATCCAGGGTGGATGCGAGACTCTCCCGACTATTGTTTAGTCAGGCAAAATGTAAAACTGGTGCCGGATGAAGTGAGATAGGCAGAGGCCATGAGAAGGCACAGAGGTACACCTGCCAAAATTAACATCTCCGCCCACTTCCAGATGTTAATTAAAGCCGCTATTATTCTGTGATTTCCTCCTTGGTCTGCTTATCTTGTCAAATCCTGGCGCTGCGCTTTGCCTTTCTAATAACAGTCGCGGGCGTTACTCACTCTGAGCAAACTGATTCACTCTTCGGACGGACTGACTTTCGTTTGGAACCAGACTCTGTTTGCAGCATTGTCCCCCCCCCCCATTCTGTTGTGGATATATAAATGAGCCCGATGGATCCCCCTCCATGTATCTGATGAAGTGAGCTCCGAGTCACAAAGGAGAAGAGAAGAAGAGATTGGATTCATACCCCGCCCTTCACAACCCGAAGGTGTCTCAGAGCAGCTTACAAACTCCTTTCCCATCCCCTCCCCACAACAGACACCCTGTGAGGTCGGTGGGGCTAAGAGACCTCTTGACAGAAGCTGCTCTTTTTCAAGAACAGCTCTTGTCAGAACTACGGCTTGCCCAAGGTCATCCAGCAGATGCAAGTGGAGGAGTGGGGAATCAAACCCAGTTCTCCCAGATTAGAGTCTGCACACTTAAGCACTAGACCAAACTGGCTCTCAAGTGACGTAGAAGAAGAAGAAGAAGAGATTGGATTTATACCCCGCCCTTCACTATCCAAAGGAGTCTCAGAGCGGCTTACAAACTCCTTTCCCTTCCCCTCCCCACAACAGACACCCTGTGAGGTAGGCGGGGCTGAGAGAGCTCTTGACCTCGGGAGGTCAAGCTAGCTACTAGCAGGGCCGGGGCCTTTTCAGTGGCGGCCCCTACCTGGTGGAACGAGCTCCCGGAGGAGATCAGGGCCCTGCGGGACCTTTCACAGTTCCGCGGGGCCTGCAAGACGGAGCTCTTCTGCCAGGCATTTAATTAGGGGCCGCCGCGGCCATAGAGCCCTGGCCCATGGTTTTAACATTGGGCCGATGACATAAGAAATGATGAGCAGAAGAACATCTGAGAACATCCGGGGAGTGGAAATCCATCTTGTTAACTGCCACCAGCATTTTGTGTTTGTATCTGTTTTATCTGTTTTTTAAAAATAATTGTATGATTTTAAGTTGTATTTATGTTTGTATGGAAGCCGCCCTGAGCCTGCTCTGTAAATAAGTAAATAAAATAAATAAATTCAGGACTAACCCTGCTTAGCTTCTGAGATCTGAGAAGATCACGAGGTGGTTGGCCACAGCTTCCCTCTGCCTAACAACCCTGGGCTTCCTTGGTGGTCTCCCACCCAAATACTAACCAGGGCCGACCCTGCTTAGCTTCCAAGATCTGATGAGATCAGGTTAGCCAGGCCCATCCTGACCGGGGCGTAAGTGATAGACCTCTGGCCGACTGCCAGGGGAAACACCCAAGGTTGTTGGAACATCTGCAAAGAATGTTGGCCTCGGTGGACTTTGACCTGATCCTGGCCAAGCTCTCGTGACCGCCTTAAGCAAGAGCTACACACTCCGGATCCTCTGTCGCCTATCGCTTCGATCGGGATTGTTCAGAGCGCCGGAATAAGGATGCCTCGCTCTGCAAATTTAAATCGTATGGGTGGCTCACCACGATTTCTAGGAGGAGAAGGATTGATAGGGAGACGCCCGGAGCCCATGCTGGAAATGAAGAGTTCCATTTCTCGCTCGCTTGCTCTCCCCTTGGGGCAGAATAAGCAGGGTGTCCTTCAATGCTCCCTCTAAGCTGTGGAGTCTTGTGAGCAAAAAATTCTACTTTGTGGGCTACTGGCATTAAAGTGGTGAGCGAGCGATTTGGCTGCTGCATAAAATTAGTTGGCCCTGGAGCCGTCCTGCCCGAGCGAAGACAAAAATGTGTGAGCCGGAGGCTAAATAAATCTGTGCCTTAGCTCAAACTAACTCAGCTTAGGGGGAACACTGGTGTCCTCCAGCCAGGACCTCAGAAATGGGTGTGGCTCAATTCATTTCACCCTGGGGAAGGTCTACTAACCACTATCCCTCCCCCACTGGGTTTTTCAAGGCTTCCCAGGGCAAAAGGCTCCCATGGACACACCCTTTTTCTCCGGGCGGCTGCGGAGAGGTTCTCTTTGGACCTCTCAAGCTACTTCATTTTAGCTGGGGGACTCAGTTCTCCCTCTAAGCTGTGGAGTCTCCTGAGCAGAAATTCTACTTTGTGGGCAGTGTTCCCTCTAAGCTGAGTTAGTGTGAGCTAGCTCACAGTTTTTTTAGCCTCCGGCTCACACCCTTTTGTCTTGGCTCAGGAAGGAGGGCTCCAGAGCAAGCTAATGTATGCAGGAGCCAAATTGCTCGCTCACAACTTTAATGCCAGCAGCTCCCAAAATAGAATTTTTGGCTCACAAGACTCCACAGCTGAGAGGGAGCATTGTTTGTGAGTGACTGGCATTATAGCTGTGAGTGAGCGATTTGGCTGCTGCATGAATTCATCTGCTCTGGAGCCATTCCTTCCTGAGCGAAGACAAAACTCTGTGTGCAGGAGGCTAACCAATGGTGAGCTGGCTCACACAAACTCAGCTTAGAGGGAACACCGCTGGGGAGGTGATCCTTTTTCTTAAAGTGGTATGTTTGGGATTTAAAGTTGGCATGCTGTCCCCCCCAAAACCAATTCTCACTGGAGTAGGGTTGCCAGGGCCCCACCTGCCACTGGTGGGGGGTCGGGTTGCCAGCTCCAGGTTGGGAAACTCCTGGAGAAGTGGGTTTGGAGCCTGGGGAGGACGGGGACCTACACTGCCATTGAATCCGCCCTCCAAAGCAGCCATTTTCTCCAGGGGAACTGAGCTCTGCAGTCTGGAGATGAGCTGTAGTTCCCGGGGATCCCCAGGTCCCGCCTGGAGGCTGGCATCCCTACCGGAGACATCCCCTGATTCGAACAGGGAGCCTCCCTTTTCCTCCAGGGCATCAGATGGACAATTTGCTCCCTTCTCCTGACCTCACCTACCCCCCCCCCTTCGCCAAACAAGGCACCCGCATCTCTCCAGTGGTGAGGACCACACCTGGCCCAAACTGCAAACTCGAGCCAAGGGACCTCCACCCTTTTTGCACGGGATTGTAGGACAAGGGGGAAAATGAATGTGATCTCATTTGGGGTATAAGACCTTCCGCCCTTCCTGGCTATGGCAGAATACAGTTTTGGAACGGCTGGAGCGCTACGGCACTCAGCTTTGTATTCCCTGTTTTAAATGCATTAAACAGATATTCATCTAACGCGTTGGACCCGGACTGTGTGTCTCCACTCCAGTTTGGCAAGGGGAGCACGCAGGCACAGATCTGTGTATTAGGATGGGAGCGATTCCAGATCTGAACCCCACTCCCTTTTTTTTTTTAAGAACGCAGATTCTTTTTCCCTCCCTAGTATACAAGGGTTTTTTTTGAGACGCAATTCCCACCCCCCCCCCCCCTTTTCCCCTTGAACCTGGAGCAAAAACGTTTCCCCACACTGGGAACTGGAGCGCAGCGAATGCGCCCTGCTTTACGCACCGCGCGAGAGGCTCTCCAAAAAGTCCCCGTTACGCACAAGGGGAAAAAAAAAAAGATGACACTCACCAAGGCGGATCCGAGCAGCTGGGAGGAGAGCGAGAGAGAGCAGCCTGCAGCGACGGCTGGCCGAGAAACAGTGAGGCGAGCCGCCACCTCTGCAGTTTCCGCCAGCCGGAGCGGGGCTGGGTTGGGCCGGGCAGTGGGCGGAGTGGAGAGGGAGGACGGGCCCTCCGGCTGGGCGAGGAAAGCGGACCGGCCCCTTGGAGAGGAGCCACCGGGGGGGAGCCCGTCCTGCCCTGCTTAAAGCAATCGATTCCCGTCTCTTTTCGTTCCGGTCTTTCCTGTGCGTCCGCGGGGCCGCTGCGCAACCCAAGTGCCCAGGCAGGCAGGCATTCGACAGGTGCAGAGAGGGTTAGAAGTGGAGCGGAGAACTAGGAAATCATCTCTCCGTTGGGTTGCCAGGTCTGGGTTGGAAAATACCTGGAGGCTTTGGGGGTGGATCCGGGAGAGGGCGGGGCTTGGGGAGGGGAGGGGCCTCAGCAGGGTACAGTGCCATAGGGTCCTCCCTTCCAAGCAGCCATTTTCTCCGGGGGGGGCTGATCTCTGCCCGCTAGAGACCAGTTGTAAAAGCGGGTGATCTCCAGACGCCACCTGGAGACTGGCAACCCTGTCTCTCCAGGTGGGCTTGGGCTTCCCTCCCGTCTGCGCTAGGAGCTTAATAGCGCTGGCCTACCTTGCAGGGGTAGAAAGGCAGGTCTGGATGAAGGCAGGGCGCAAGCTAGGTGGGGTGGGGGTACGTTTGGGGCTACAAAAAAGGGTGGCGACAATGGCGGCTCGGAGGGCAGTGTGGAGTTCGGGGCTCCGTTTGGGCACATGGGAAATGCGGCCGCCTTTCCCTGTTGCCCTTTCCAAGCGCCACGCCCAAATCTTTTATCTGTCCCTGGCGCCATCAGTGCACCATTTATCATGATTATTTATTTTATTTCCTTCATGTATACTCCGCCTTCCTTCCCTATGGCGACCCGAAGTGGGTTGCATCATCTGATCTTCATTCATATCTTCACAACTTCCTTGCTGGAGGAGAGAGCGAGGTCACCCAGCAACCATTGACGGCAGAGTGGGGATTCGAACCTGGGTCTTCCAGATCCAACTACTAAACTACACCGGCTCTCTATTGTACAGTGCCACATATATGTGCATAGTTCTCCTGGCCCTTTCTTACAAGCCCAGGGAAATGCCGATCGCCACTTTGGGGTCAGGATACAGTGCTCCCTCTAAGCTGAGTTAGTGTGAGCTAGCTCACAGTTTTTTAGCCTCCAGCTCACATATTTTTGTCTTTGCTCAGGAAGGATGGGCTCCAGAGCAAACTATTTATGCAGCAGCCAAATCGCTCACAACTTTAATGCCAGTAGCTCACAAAGTAGACTCCACAGCTTAGAGGGGACATTGGAAGCAATTTTTCTCCAGGCCAGAATGGCCAGGGACCCTGGAGGGTTTTGTCATCTTCTGGGTGTGGAACGGCAGTCACTGGGGGTGTGGAGGGGGAGGTATTTGTGAATTTCCTGCATTGTGCAGAGGGTTGGACTAGATGACCCCAGAGGTCCCTTCCAACTCTGTGTGCCTTCAGATGGGCTGTTTGATCAGCTTTAGTCATGCTTCAGAAACGGATTTTATCTGCACTATCACAAAGTCAACATCTGCCTCCCATCTGCAGCCGTTGGTTTCTGGCTCAAAACCGGATATGGAACAACTGATTGGTTTAGCATAGGAAAAGGAGTACGACAAGGATGTATATTGTCACCTTGCTTATTTAATATATATGCAGAGTACATCATGCGAAATGCTGGCCTGGATGAATCACAAGCGGGAATTAAGATTGCTGGGGAAAAGATCAACAACCTCAGATATGCAGACGATACCACTCTGATGGCAGAAAGTGAAGAGGACCTCAAGAGCCTCTTGCTCAGGGTAAAAGAGGAGAGCGCAAAAGTGGGCTTGAAGCTCAACATCAAAAAAACTAAGATCATGGCATCCGGCCCCATCACTCCTTGGCAAATAGAAGGGGAAGTCGTGGAAGTAGTGACAGACTTCACGTTCCTGGGATCCCAGATCACCGCAGACTGTGACTGCAGCCATGAAATTAAAAGACGCCTGCTCCTTGGGAGGAAAGCGATGGCGAACCTAAACAGCATGATAAAAAGTAGAGACATCACCCTGCCAACAAAAATACGCATGGTCCAAGCAATGGTATTCCCAGTAGTCATGTGTGGCTGCGAGAGTTGGACTATAAGGAAGGCCGAGCACCGAAGAATAGATGCTTTCGAATTATGGTGCAGGCGATGACTCTTGAGAGTTCCTTGGACTGCAAGGAGATCAAATCAGTCAATCCTAAAAGAAATCAACCCTGACTGTTCCCTGGAAGGCCAGATAATGAAACTGAAGCTCAAATACTTTGGCCACCAAATGAGAAGGGAGCACTCACTGGAGAAGACCCTGATGCTGGGAAAGATTGAAGGTCAAAGAAGACGGGGACGGCAAAGGATGAGATGGTTGGACAGTGTCATCGAGGCAACGAACATGAAACTGAGCAAACTTCAGAGGACAGCGGAAGACAGGAGGGCCTGGCGGGATCTAGTTCATGGGGTCGCGAAGAGTCGGACTCGACTGTGTGACTGAACAACAACAACAAATTTTGTTACCAGGTCCCAAAGTGGTGTTTTCTCAGCTCTCCCGTTTAAAGCCGCATTTCCTCCCTGTGTGATCGCTCCTCCGGTGTTGAGCCACTTTTGGTTTAAACCCCTTCCCCGCTCGAAAGCTGCCCAAGGCTTCCGCTTTTCACCCACCATTTTTTTTGAGCATCAGTGGTGCGTGCATAGGCGGAGTTCCGCTACCGTGTTTAGAAAACCGACATTTAAACGGTCACTTGTTTTAGCGTTTAGATGAGTTCGGGATCTCACAGAGACCATTTCCGGGTCAAACGTTTAAAGGGAAGCCTTTTGTTGGAGGGGTTGGATTGATTCGCCCTGGTGGTTCTGCGCATGCGCCATGGTTGTTTTGCCCCCCCTTCTACCGATGAGTGCCTATGTGCATGTGCAAACAGAAACTTTTTTTAAAACCCACTGACACACGCTCTCGCGCGTCGGTAGTGTAGACGCCGGGGAGCAACGTGACTGTGCGGCGAGGCGGGATAAGGGAGGTAAGTGTGATCGCGATTATACAGATCAAATATAATCCGGTCAGAACCGGAGTAGTTTAGCCCGCTCTCAGCACGCCATCTTGGCGCATGCCATGGTGCCCGCGGGCACAGTGTTGGAGACCCCTGGTTAGCATGTGAAGGGTGGGCGGGTGGTGCTAACGTCACCTGCCACTGCAGTGTTCCCTCTAAGCTGAGTTAGTGTGAGCTAGCGCACAGTTTTTTAGCCTCCAGCTCACAGATTTTTGTCACAGCTCAGGAAGGATGGCCCTGGAGCAAACTAATTCACGCAGCAGCCAAATCGCTCGCTCACAACTTTAATGCCGGTAGCTCACAAAGCGGAATTTTTGCTCACAAGACTACACACCTTAGAGGGAGCATTGCCTGCCAGTCCAAATAGCAACAGTCGGGTCTCGCGACGCAGGATGCCAATTGCTAATTATAGGCGTCTCTTCCCTGAGTATCGACACATTTCTCGGATCAGATCTGGAATCCTCGCTTGGGTGTATCAGAAACCTCGCGTGCCAGGCTGGGGAGACGCAACCCTCTTCGTGCCGAGAGCACCCGCTTTCTCCCCCTGGCCGTCTTATTGTTTCTTTTCCCGGCCCCGAGAAGATCTTCACGGCCTCTGCCCTCCCCTTTGTGCTGAAATCTCGCTCCGCTGGTGTTGTTCTTGGCTTTTCTGTTTGCCATACGCCTCGTTCAGCTGTTCTGGGACATCTTCTCCTGGCTGATAGCACTGGACACAAGGTTTTGAAAGAATAGCTATTGTATGGAGGTTCCGGCTGATCTTCCGTTAGCTCCTGGTCAATGCTCCCTCTAAGCTGTGGAGTCTCGTGAGCAAAATTTCTACTTTGTGAACTACTGGCATTAAAGTTGTGAGCGAGCGATTTGGCTACTGTGTAAATCAGTTTGCTCTGGAGCCATGCTTCCTGAGCTAAGACAAAAATGTGTGAGCCAGAGGCTAAAAAACTGTGAGCTAGCTCACACAAACTCACCTTAGAGGGAACACTGCTCGTGGTCCTGTCTTTTGAACAATAGCAGTAAGGGGCGAAGAAAAGACATTGCTTCCCTCGTTGTGGAATTCACAGCTGCAAGAAGTGGTGATGTCTATAGGCATAGACAGCGTCAAGAGGGGACTGGATAAATATATGGAGCAGAGGTCCATCGGTGGCTACTAGTCACAAAGTCTAGATGGAACACAGTGTCTGGGGCAGGGATGGTCTGTCTTCTTGGTGCTTGGGGGGCAACGGTGGGAGGGCTTCTGAAGTTCTGACCTCAGTGGTGATGGGTCCTGGGTTTTGGCCACCGTGTGACACAGAGTGTTGGACTGGATGGGCCATCGGCCTGATCCAACATGGCTTCTCTTATGTTGTTAAGAGCAGAGGTCCATGAGTGGCTATTTCCCACAAGGTATAGACTCTGTTTGGGGCAGGGATGCTCTGTCTTCTTGGTGCTGGGGGGGGCAACATTGGGAGGGCTTCTGGAGTTCTGGCCCTCCTAGTAGACCTCCTGATGGCCCCTGGGTTTTGGCTACTGTGTGACCCAGAGTGTTGGACTGGATGGGCCATCGGCCTGATCCAACATGGCTTCTCTTATGTTGTTAAGAGCAGAGGTCCATGAGTGGCTATTTCCCACAAGGTATAGACTCTGTTTGGGGCAGGGATGCTCTGTCTTCTTGGTGCTGGGGGGGGCAACATTGGGAGGGCTTCTGGAGTTCTGGCCCTCCTAGTAGACCTCCTGATGGCCCCTGGGTTTTGGCTACTGTGTGACCCAGAGTGTTGGACTGGATGGGCCATTGGCCTGATCCAACATGGCTATTCTAATGTTTTAAGATCAGAGGTCCATCAGTGGCTGTTTGCTACAAGGTATAGATGGAACACAATATATCTGGGGCAGGGATGCTCTGTCTACTTGGTGCTTGGGGGGCAACAGTGGGAGGGCTTCTGGAGTTC